CCCCCTCCACCTCCACTTCCACCTCCCCCTCCACCTCCACTTCCACCTCCCCCTCCACCTCCACTTCCACCTCCACCTCCACCTCCACCTCCACCTCCACTTCCACCTCCACCTCCACCTCCACCTCCACCTCCACTTCCACCTCCACCTCCACCTCCACCTCCACCTCCTCCTCCACCTCCACCTCCACCTCCACCTCCACTTCCACCTCCACCTCCTCCTCTTCCTCCTAAGATATGCATGGAACTGCTTTCGTGATGTTGTGGGGGGGAAGTTATTATGACGTAAGCAAACTTCATGTAAACAGGAACGCCAGCAAAACCGCAAGGGGGGGTGGGGGGGTGCAGGAGGTGGGGGATGGGGGAGAGGGAAGGAGTCACAAAGTTTCGTCCGCGTTATATTGTTTTGATCGCTGTCTCTTGTTTCTTCCCTTTCCTCACTCTCCTTCGATGTCTTCCTTCTTCTTCCCTTCCTTCTCTTTCTTTCTCTCTTTCCCATCTCTTTTCTCTAATGTTCCGTTCTTCCTTTACCCTACTGTGGTACTGATCCCTGCCCACGCGTCCCTCCCCTCCCTTCCTTCCTCCTTCTCTTCCTCTCTTCCCCTCCCCCTTCCCTTCTATAAAAAAAGAAAAAAAAAATACTCCCCCTTCCCCTCAACACTCCCCCCCCATTCATAAACCCTTACTACCTCCCCCCCTTCCCTCCCCTTCCCCTCCCTTCCTTCCTTCCGCCTCCCCTCCCCTCTCCTCCCCCCTCCCTACCCTCCCCCTCCCCTTCATCATAGCTGCCCGCTTGTTTTTCTTTCTTTTTTTTTATATCCAACAATTATAATATTCATTAGCGCCGATGGCATCCGAGGGAAAAATGAGTGATTGCATCCCGTTCGACAATCACAGCCACACAAAGGGAAAAGACTATCGAACACGAGACAGGAATCTGGGAGGGGGAGGGGAGGGGAGGGAAGGGGGGAAAAGGGGAAAGGGGATGGGGGAGGGGAGGGGAGGGGAGGGGAGGGGGGAGGGGAGAAGGCAGGGGGAGGAAAGGGGAGGGGAGGAGGGGAATGGGGAGGGGAGGGGAGGAGGGGAATGGGGAGGGGAGGGGAGAAGGCAGGGGGAGGAGGGGAGGGGAGGGGAGGGGAAAGGGGGGAGAGGGGAATGGGGAGGGGAGAAGGCAGGGAGAAGGCAGGGGAGGGGAGGAGGGGAATGGGGAGGGGAGAAGGCAGGGGGAGGAGGGGAGGGGAGGGGAGGGGGAAAGGGGGAGAGGGGAATGGGGAGGGGAGGAGGAGAGGGGAAAGTGGAGTGGGGAAATAGGAGAGGGATGGGGAACGGAGAGGGAGGGAGGGGAGAGGCACAAGAGGGGAGGGAGGGAGGGAAGAGGGGGGGGGGGCATTTTCTTCAGTGACAGCGGAAATGCCGCCTTGCTTTGTCTCTAAACAAAAGTTGCACTTGTTTGGCCGTTGAGTCAGAGTCAACAGCGACTCAGCATATCTGTGTGTGAAGAATAAACATTACAAAATGGCCATTCCAGTCAGTCCCTGATGGCGAAGTCCTCATCCTCGTCCTCCTCCCCTCCCCCCTTCCCTCTCCTTCTCTGCATGTCCATCCCCTTCCTTCCCCCTCTCCTTTCCCTTTTAGCTTTACCACTTCTCTTCTCTTCTCTTCATTTTCTCTCCTTTTCTCTTCTTAGCTCCTCTCTTCTCTTCTCTTCATTTTCTCTCCTTTTCTCTTCTTACCTCCTCGCTCCTCTCCTTCTATTCTCCTTCTTTCCTCTTCCCATCCGATCCCTTTCCCTTTTCCACTTCCCCTCCCTTCTCTACCTTCTTATCTCTCTTATCCCTTTCCCTTTCCGTATTATCTCCCTTATTACCCTTTCTTCCTCTCTCCTCCTCCGCCTCCTCCTCCTATTCCCCCCTCCCCTAACCACTCCCTCTTCCCCCCCCTCCCCACTCCTCTTTTTCCTCACCCAATCTTCCACCTCCTTTTCCTCCTTCTCCTTCTCCTTCCTCCTCTTCCTCTTCCTCTTCCTCTTCCTCCACCTCCACCTCCACCTCCCCACCTTCCACCTCCTCTCCCCTCCCTGCAAGATTCTGCAACCTGCATAGTTGTTTTTACTGGACTTTATGGCAGCTCTCAATAAACCGCCTCAGGAACAATTAAAACCAAGATGAGGACAACAACCAGAGAGTGTACTGATAATGGAAACTCATTTAAGTGTAAATTGGTAAACATTCAGCAGTTAACAATCACTTCGAAGAAAAAGGATGCGTCATCATTGATATCCTCCAAATTATTTATAAGAAATAATTAAGGAAAAGGGAAAAAAAAAGAGAGAAAAAAAATGTATTACCTAAAACGTCACTTGAGAATGAAAAGATCAAACTGAAATTCCTCACAATACACGACATCCTTCAAACAGGTTTTAAGAGAATGTAGCGGTGAATGTCTCCCCCTCCTTTCTCCCCTCCTCTCCCTTCCCCTCCCCCTCTCTTCCCTCCCAAACCCTCCCGAGTCTCTCCCCTCCTTCCCTCCCTCCCTGGGCCTCCCTTACCCTCTCCCCTTGTATTCTACTCAGCCCCTCCTTCTTCCCCTTACCCCTTACCCCTTACCCCTTTCCCCACCCCCTTCCCTGCCCTCCCCATGCCCCCACCTCCCTGCTTTCCCCCTCCCTCCACCTCTCTACCTTTCCCCTCCCTACCCTCCCTCCACCTCCCTGCCCTTCCCTTCCTCCACTTCCCCCTCCCCGCTTTCTCCCCTCCCCTCCCCTCCCCCCACCCGCCGCTACACTGTGGTCAGGTGTGGAAGGAACGAACACTCACGGGCAGATGATGGCCAGACACTCGACAGATGCACGGAATCGTACGCACTAATCATTCACACAGAGTTGGGGATGCTAAGGTATTTAGATATGTTTCTATATGTACACATATATACACACATAATCACTCATTTACTCACTTACTCACACACACAGATGCAATCACAAGCACACACACACACATTCATCTGCACCCACACAAACATTAACGTATAACCCCCCTCCCCAACCCCCACCATACAACCCCCCTACACCCCTACCACACCCCTACTCCACATGAACACACACGAACACACACACACACACACACACACAAAAGCACAAACACACACACACACACAAGCACGAACACACACACGCGTAAACACAAACCCTCACACGTACTTGTACTGTGATTTCCGGTTATTGAGCCACCCGTCCCTTCTTGCAATTCCTTCCTTCTTGGACACACACGTCTCGGAGACAACTTCCGCTTCTTCTAAGACGATGACGCCAACAAGAAGGCATTTGAAAGCTAAACAAACGACCCGGAACCTCATTACGTACACTTACACCCACACATGTATACACACCTGACGCACACGTATGTTTGTATGGGAACTTCATACGTACACACTCTTACGTACACACACCTGGCGCACACGTATGTTTGTATGGGAACTTCATACGTACACACACTTACGTACACACACCTGGCGCACACGTATGTATGAGATGCGGACATAAACGCGCAGTGGTAGATTTTTTTTTTTTTTATTCTGATTCTGGAGTTCTGAAAATATATTGTTGAGTGGATTTTAATTTAGTGGATGGTAACGGCAATACCAGCGGTGATGAAAATAACTATAATAACAAGAATAATGATGATGGTACTTATAATCAATGACAGGAATTATAATAATTGCACAGTAGCGATAAAATAAAATGCAAACCAACAAAGAGAAAAGAAACATAATAATAAAACAAGATAAGAAGCGACTCACACATAAGAACCCCCTCCCCCCTCTCTCTCCTCTCTTCCCCCCACCTGCCTCCTACCTCCCCCCTCACCCTACCCTACCACTACCCACCTCTCCTCTCTTCCCCCCTACACCTCTTATCTCCTTCCCCCTATCTTCTCCCTCCCTCCCCTCTTCCTCCTTCCTCCCTACCTCCTCCCTCCCCCTCTTCCTCCTTCCTCCCCTACCTCCTCCTTCCCCTTCCCTCCCCATCCACCTCCCCTCCGACCTCCAGCCTCCCCCTTCCCCCTCCCCTATCCTCCCCTCCCACCTCCTACCTCCACCCTTCCCCATCCCCCCCTCCTTCCCATACCTCCTCCCTTTCTTGCCCCCTTCCTACCTCCCCTGCTTCGCCGCACACGCAGCACGGGCTTCCGAAGCGCGAGTCAAGAGTCAACCTTATCAACCGCAAAGGACGACGCGATTACGAGACAAGTGCCGCAGAACGAGCTCGAAATGCGCCGTTAGTGCTCCCGAGTCAAGCGCCCGGACCGCATTCGAAGCGGTTCGGGTGCGGCGGTAATTTGCGCCTCCGCGGGTGTGTGTGATTGTGTGCGTGATATTGCGTACGTGTGCGTACACATACGTACACACACACACATACACATATATTATACAGAGAGAGAGAGAGAGAGAGAGAGAGAGAGAGAGAGAGAGAGAGAGAGAGAGAGAGAGAGAGAGAGAGAGAGAGAGAGAGAGAGAGAGAGAGAGGAGAGGGGGGGGGGGGAGGAGGAAGAGAATACGAGTGGACAAGAAAAAGAGAGAAAGAGAGAGTCAGAATACAAAAAAAAATAATAATCGAGAAAATATACAGTTACATACGGCTGGTTTAGTATAAAGGGAGACTTCGCAATATTGCAAAGAAAACCGCGTTAACAATGTGAAAATCCACAGTGTTGAATCGTGCACAGTTTCAGTATTTTATTTTTTTCTTATATATAATCTTTATTTTTTTTTTACGTTCTTTTGGCTCATTAACAATCACCAGTACAGCGCTTGCTTCCTCATAATCAAACACTGAGCATGGGAACTTCTCAGACATATTTAATGCTTTACGCTTCCTGCATGTTATCTCCCCCTCCTGCCCCCCCCCCCCTTTCTTCCTCCCCCTTACCCCTCTCTCCTCAAAGCTAATTGCAGTGACTGCAACGCCGCTAAAAGCTAAATACAAAACTTTGATCTCACTAC